AAATTCAGGCTAGAGACACAGCTACAGATAAGCATTTGTGAGTCATCAGTGTATAGATACCGTTCTAAGCTTTGGTGTCTCTGGGGAGACCAAAGCTGAGCAGAAGGCTTCAGCGATGCTGGGGACTGAGAATTCACCCAGGAGACGCTGATCCTGACCGCCAGACAGGCTCCAACCTTGTCTCCCGCAGCGTGCCCTTTGGGACACTGGGGAGTCAACTGTGCCCAGCTCTGCCAGTGTCGCCATGGTGGGACCTGCCACCCCCAGGATGGGAGTTGTTTCTGTCCCCCGGGCTGGACCGGACATCTCTGCTTGGAAGGTACCAATAGAAGGGCAACTCCACGCCCCGACCGCCAGCCCTAGCCCGAGGAGGGGACTGCCATTCCCTTGCCCCTCTGATCTCCTCTTCCACTTCCTCCCAGGCTGTTCTCCAGGGATGTTTGGTGCCAACTGCTCCCAACCATGCCAGTGCGGTCCCGGAGAGAGGTGCCACCCGGAGACTGGGGCCTGTGTGTGTCCTCCAGGGCACAGTGGTGCCCCCTGCAGGATCGGTGAGTTCTCATCTAGCCCCTGCCTCTGCACTGTCCCCAGGGAACCAGGACATAGGTACCTGTCCAGGTCTCTGCTAGGTGGTACTCTTGTATCACCCTACCTTCCTACTGGGGCCTCTCCCATCCATGCATCATCCCAAGCTCACCAACAGGGCCAAGACACTGTCCTGAGCAACCACTCCATCCCACATAGGGAGCCAGGAGCCGTTCACCATGATGCCCACCTCTCCAGTGGCCTATAACTCACTCGGGGCAGTGGTTGGCATCGCAGTGCTGGGATCCCTGGTGGTGGCCCTGGTGGCGCTGTTCATTGGCTACCGTCACTGGCAGAAAGGCAAGGAGCACCGGCACCTGGCCGTGGCCTACAGCAGCGGGCGACTGGACGGCTCTGAGTATGTCATGCCAGGTGAGCCCGCCCCGGGGGCGGGCTCGCGGGCGTGGCTGACTCTTCGGCACAGGGCAGATGGGATGCGGGGCTTCTGCATCCTTCCCTGGACCTAGGAGATGGGAAGTGGGGTCAGAGAGGCCGATTACGGATCTCCTGGGACAGAACGGCTGTCTCGGGCCCAGGCCTGTGTTTGACCTGGCAGGCCACCCCGCACCTGTGTCTGTTTGTGCAGATGTCCCTCCGAGCTATAGTCACTACTACTCCAACCCCAGCTACCACACCCTGTCACAGTGCTCACCGAACCCCCCGCCCGCTAAGAAGGTCAGTGCTAGGGGTGGGTGTGCACCGTGGGTGCCCGGTGGGTGCAGCTCCGGGTCTCCGGAGAGCTCCAGCTCTGTGTGTTCCCCTCCCTGTCCCGCCCTCCCCTGCCAGGTTCCAGGCAGTCAGCTCTTTGCCAGCCTCCAGGCCTCTGAGCGACCAGGTGGAGCCCACGGACTTGATAACCATGCCACGCTACCTGCAGATTGGAAGCATCGCCGGGAGCCCCCGCCAGGGCCTCTGGACAGAGGTAGAAGCCTGGGGGCCAAGGCCTCTGGTGAGGGTGGATGTGTGCAACCCAGCATCCGGCTCCATCTGAGTGCGCATGTCTGTAGAAGGGGTTCCGGGCGCCAGTTCTAGAGGAGGGGACGCTGGGGTGCGGACCAGGGGCCTGATTGCGGGTTGCTTTCTCCTTGTTAGGTAGCAGCCACCTGGACCGAAGCTACAGCTGTAGCTACAGCAACACTAATGGCCCCGGCCCATTCTACAGTAAAGGTGAGCGCACGGCGGCGGGGGTGGGAGGGGGCTGCCCTGGGGTTTAGGAGCCAGTGCCTCCACTGAGCCTGACTTCTTTCCCCCATCTCTAGGACCCATCTCTGAAGAGGGGCTGGGGGCCAGCATGGCTTCCCTGAGCAGTGAAAACCCCTATGCCACCATCCGGGACCTGCCCAGCCTGCTAGGGAGCCCCCGGGAGAGCAGCTACGTGGAGATGAAAGGCCCTTCCTCAGGGTCTCCCCCCAGGCAGCTTCCTCAGCTCCCAGACAGCCAGAGACGGCGCCACCCCCAGGCACAGAGAGACAGTGGTACCTATGAGCAGCCCAGCCCTCTGGTCCATGGTGAGCCCTCCTTTTCCACTGGAGCAGAGAGAACAGGGACAAGGGATCTGGGAAAAGAGAAGGGACAGGGGACAAGAATGTGGAGGTGGCAGGAAGTGGTAGCAAGAGCAAGGTCTTTGGGGTCAGTTGTTGTTTAGTCGCTAAGTCGTGTGCGACTCTTTGCAAGCCTGTGGAAGGTAGCCACCAAGCTCCTCTGTCCATGGGATTTCCCAGGGAAGAATGCTGGAGTGGGTTGCCATTTCCTTCTCCAGGGGATCTTCCCCACCCAGGGATCGAACCCACATCTCCTGCGTTGGCAGATAGATTCTTTACCACTGAGCTATCAGGAAAGCCTTCTTTGGGGTTTAGACTTAAGCTTAAACCAAGGGTGATGTTTGGGAAGTCATACTGCCTCTTAGAGTCTGTAGGTGGCGGTACCCACCTCACAGAGCTAAGGATTTGAAACGGTGGTTTCACAGCACCTGAGTTGTAAACTTGATACCCAGAAAAGCTGGGAACAAGGCAGGTGACAGAGTGTCTTCCTATTTTGTGAGGTGGGCAGGATGAGGTGGCCTCCCCCACTGACAGCTGAGGAGCTGCACAAAGTGGTGGATAGCCAGGCACCATTCATCTGACTTTGGGCAGAAGACGCTGGAGAGGGGAGGAGAGTGGTGGGAAGTGGAGGAGTCACCTCCCTCCCTCTGTCGGCTCCCCTCTCTGTCTCCAGACCGAGACTCTGTGGGGTCCCAGCCCCCACTGCCACCGGGCCTGCCTCCTGGACACTATGACTCTCCCAAGAACAGCCACATCCCTGTACACTACGACTTGCCTCCGGTTCGGCATCCCCCCTCACCCCCAGTTCGGCGCCAGGACCGCTGAGGAGCTGAGATGGTGTGCAGAAGTCAGCATACCTGTTCTTTGCTGCTCGAGGCTGAGGACAGAGCCCACTGTACCCTGCCAGGAGCAGGGAGGGGACTGGCCGGCCGTGAATATGAACATGGTTAATACAAGAAGTGAATGGAGAGGAGATGGGAGCCTGGCTCCCAGGTTCTGTCATGGGAACACAGTCAGCAAGAAGTCTGTGTTCCTGTTCCCCAACCCAGTGCTTCCCAAGGCCCCTAGGGCCCTGTGTACATAACCTGGTGGGTTCAATGTTGCTGGATAACTGATTTCAAATCAATGTAAAAAATGTATATTGGGTGAATTTTCTGTGTATTCCTAGCCTAGGCTCTGTGCGTGTGTGTTTGTGTGTGTGTGTGGGGGGGCGTGTATGTGTGTAGGGGGGTGTGTTTGTATGTGTGTGTGTGTGGTTTCAGAGGGGTACCAGGCACTGATCCTGACTTGGGGCACTCACTATAATGGAGAGGCAGCCCAAACCCAGTTAACTCTAGAAATAGCCTGACTGGCATCCCTGCATTCATCTGGTCCTCCCTCCAATCAACTGCTCAAAACATAAGCTGATTAGGTTACCTCTGCCTGAAAGTCTCCATTGGTGGCCAACTGCTCTTGGGCTACAGTCAAAATTGTCCAAGGCTTTAAAGGCTTTGCTGGCCTGGCCTGCCTGTCTCTTCAGCCTTACTCTGAACTGTGTTCCCTGTCTCTCTGCTCCAGTTACACTGGCCTCTGTGTCCTCTCAGCCACATGGCTTTCTATGACAGGGACTTAGCACATCTGGAATGCTCTTCCTTCCCCAGCCACCTGTTACCTCCTGCTTGTACCCCACATCCCGTTTTCTCTTTCATGGCATTGATGACAGATGTATTTATGCACCAGATGCCTGCAAAAGGCCAACAGGGTGCCAGGCACCTCTCTAATGTGTTGATTTTTAATGTGATTATTTGATTATTCTCTGCCTTCCCCACCAGACTCTAAGTTCCCTGAAAGCAGGAATCCCGTGTTTATGTTGAACATTGGTTCCCCTTGGCACATAGTAGGCACTCAATAAATGTTCCCCCAAAGGCTGAGTGGCTGAGTGAGTTAAAGGTACCAATGGTGAATACTGGCAAATGCTAAGATAGATGGGCAAATTGCTGCTCTGAGAGCTACAAGCCTGGGCAGGTCGAAGCCTTTTCCAAAGGGTAGAATCTCTACAGGGGAACAGCACAAAGGCTCAAAGGTGGGAAGGTCTGGGGGTGGCGGAGGGGGAGGGGGATGGAATGGAGTGGGCAGGAGAGCAGAGGGGACAGGGAGAGGGTATACTCAGACGGGGGCCCAGCAGGGTCTAGGCTACCTGAGGACTTTGAATCCAACTTTCTAGGAAGCGTGACCCGCCTCTTTAACTCAGTCGATCAACTAAGTCCCCAGACCTCCAGGAAGCTATAAATATATGGGGTCGAGATTACAAATCAAGAGCCACGCCAACTCGCCAATTCTGCGGGTCTCTCTGGGACTCTTCCACCAGGGGCCCTCTCCTTAGAGGAGAGGAGGGCGGACCCCGGAGACGATCTGTCCCTGCCCGGACTCTTTCCTAGGTTCCTCCGACAGCCATGATCCCTGATACACTGAGCTGACGCCCGGCTTCCCCGAGCTCACTTTCGCAGATGGCTTTGGATGGTTTCCAGCCCGCCTCCCCAGCCCCACCTCTCCGCCCCGATCTCACCCTAGCCCCGCCCCCTCCTTTGGTCCGGCCGGGTCCCGTGCGGGATCCACTCTTCTCCTTCCTCCACGGCCCCGCCCAGGTTCTTCTCCTTTCTCACTGGGTCCTCGGGGTCCGGCCCTGCCGGGCTGCTCTGCTCCTGTGACCCCCTGCCGCCCAGTCGGGCCCACTCTGCCCTGACTCCACCCTTCCAGGGCGTCCTCCTCCGTGGCTCCGCCCTCCGGGCCCCGCCTCCTGCTAGTGACTCTGTGGTGCCCCCTGGCGGCCACGCGTGCGCTCCGCGGTTGCCCTTTGCCCGCGGGCCGGCCCACCTCGCGCGGTTGTCGTGGAGAGGGACGCGGAGGCGACGCCACCGCAGGCGGGTCCGGCTGGTGCAGGCGGAAGTAGAGACCCTTGATTCAGCCACCTCCAGGGCAAGCCCCACAGAGTCTGGTCCTGCCTCCTCGCCCCCGTGAGGGTCCTCAGAGTCGCTGCGGACGGCAGAGGCATGTCGGGCGAGGCAAGCGCACCACCCGCGACCTCACCCAGGGCCCCGCGTCCTGGGATCCAGAAATCATCGGGTGCAGTGACCAGGAAGGGGGATCGCGGGGCTAAGGAGAAGCCGGCGACCGTCCTGCCGCCGGTGGGAGAGGAGGAGCCCAAAAACCCTGGTAGGTTGGTGACAGGGTTGGGGGGTTAGGCCTCTAGGTTTCGGCCCCACGCACTCCCACCAGCCACTCGTCCCTCAGATCAGCCAGATTGGATGGGGCGTCGTCGTTGGGTCAGGCACTAGCAGGCGAGGTAGTAATAATATACTAGCAAATACTAGCAAATATATACTAGCAAATAATAATAGAATTTCTAGTGCTAAGGAGTGCTGTGTGGAAACGGATTCCACCGGCGGAAGTTCGGTATGTGAATGTAAATAGCTCCTGGCACGTGGTAAGAGTGTTGTAAGTAAGTGGTCATATTATTGGGTGTTCACGTGTTAATAGGCTTGTCTCTTCTCTGTACTATGGAGTCCTGCCCTGCCTATTGTGAGGAGGCACAATGGAGTTGATAGTGAGAAAGTAAGTATTTTTATAAACTGCAAATTCACTTGTTTACTCAACAAACATACATTGCACACCCATTCCAAGTGCCCTCCTCCATCCTGGGATATGAATCACAGTTTCAGTCCCAGAACAGTTCCTACAACTCAGCTTGTCAGATGTTTGTATTGAACTTGATCTTAAAGAACCCACACTGGTTTGGGATGCTGACAAATAGAATAAGATATGCTAATTTGTATGACAGAAGAGGGTCCAGGGAGTGATGGGAAGATGCAGGGGCACTGCCAAGAGTGACTTTGAGTTTTATAGATATTCACTTATTCCAACAATTACTTTTTTGATGTCTGCTCTGTAGCCAGGTCCGATAGAGACAGAATGAGATGGACACAGTCCAGCTGGAATGGAAATTACATTCTCTAGGAAACGAACATCATTGGAAAAGTATGCATATGAGTGTGGCTTTTTATGTTGCAAGTGACAGAACCCCAACCCAAACTAATTATCCACAAAGGGGAATTGATTGGAAGCCTTCTTGATTCAAACCACCAGCTTTGCATTGAAGACAGACAGGAGCTTGTGATCTCTGGTCTCACAGAAAAACAACTTGGAGAAAACGCTCTGATATCAGACCTTGGTCAGGTGCCATCTCCTTGTCAGTGCCAGTGGCTGTGGGAGCGGAGCTATAGGAGCTGGAGAAAGAGCATTTTCTTGAAGGAAAAACAAGACAGTTTAGAATCTCCTATAGATATGAACCCAGCTACATCTCACACACACACACACACACACACACCCCCCACTCTGGCTGCTGTGTGGGAAATGGAGTAGCAGAGGGAGAGGATGGGGGCAGGGAGATGAGTTATGAGGCATTTTAATAGCCCAGGTGAGGGACAGTTGTAGCTGGAGGAAGGTAATGAGGGAGCTGGGTTAGGCTTCTTGGAAAAATACTTCCATGGTAGAAAAAGTTGGTGAAGTAGTGGATGGTGGGGGGAGGGGAAGTGAGGGAGGTAGCAAGAATGATTCCATGTTTCTGTATTGGACGTGGGATGGGTTAAAGGGCCATCCATGGAGACAGGCATGAATGAAGGAAGAGCATGTGAGAGATTTCCAAGGGCTGATGTTGGCTGAGCAGCTGGATGGAAGGGTCTGGAGCAGTGAGATGATGTCAGGTCGGGAGATGTGAATTGGGAGCCGCTGATGTTTGGGTGCATTTAAACCCTGGGGATAAAAGAGATTCCCCTGGGGAGGGAGGGAGTGGAGCTCAGAACCCAGCCTCAGGGATCTCAGAGGAGGAGGAGCTGACAGAGGAGCCAGAGAGGTCAGAAAGAGAGTGATAACGGGACAAGGCCACATGGTCACAGAAGCTTCAGCAGGTGCCCTGTGGCAGGGTTCAGATAGGGTGACGAGTGAAGGCCGATGTAGAAAGGTTTACCGATTTAGAGAAAATCCCATCTGGTGGCTTCAAGAAGCTATGAGATAAGGTCATAGTGAGCGTGAGGAGGGAGTGTGAGAGGGGAGGAAAGTAGGAGCAAGGCCCTTTCAGGGCTGTGCTGCCCACTGAGTGGCTGCTAGCTAAAGCCCAGATGTGGAATATTTCCATCATTGGGGGCATGCTGTTCTAGAACGGGGTTCTCAGGTGCCCTCCTTGGCCCATCTTTGGCATCATCTGTGAACTTGTTAGGGCTTCCTGGGTGGCTCAGTGGGTAAAATATCCACCTGCCAATGCAGGAGACATAGAAGATGTGGGTTCAATCCCTGGGTCAGGAAGATCCCCTGAAGGAGGGTATGACAACCCACTCCAGTACCCTTGCCTGGAGAATCCCCATGGACAGAGGAGCCTAGCGAGCTACAGTCCACAGGGTCACAAAGAGTTGGACACACACAGTGAGCTTGTTGGAAATGCAAATTCATGGACTCTGCTTAGACTATGGGATCAGAATTCAGGAGGGATGGGGCTCAGGAAATTCTTAACAGGCTTTCCTGATGATTCTTACAGACAGATGTTAAAGTTTGAGAGTCTCTGTTTAGAGAAGATGGTGTGAGTGAAGCGAGGAAGGATGGAGGGGTTCTCCCAGCAGAGAGAAGAGCCTGGGAAAGCAGGCCCCATGCAGGAGTCAGCTGCACAAGGGGCGGAGCACACAATCTCCCAGTGGCCCACACCCTGTGGGCAGCATCCCCTCTGTCAGCTGCAGGAATTCTCTTCTCTGGGCACAGCCCCTGCAGTCTGTGGCCTGGGTGCTGTTCCTGCGGGGTCTCCAGGCTGCCCCGCAGGCCAGCATCAAGGCTACCCTCTGCCTCCAGAGTCTCCCCTTTTCTGGGACACCCCTTCCCATCTCAAGGAACCACTTCTTGCTGGGAGGCCCATGTAGGAGCAGGGAAGAGCAGGCATCTTTGGGTACTCAGACACTTCAGGCCTGCAGACCCCTCAGGATGGGAAGTGCTGGGCATCTGCCTGAATTACTGCAACTCCTGAATGAGTTAAGATTTCCAAAGCACTTAGAACAGTGTGGGTCAGGAGTAGGGGCTCTATCCATGTTTCTTAAATAAATAAAGCCTACCGCCCTGCTTGGCCTCAGTCTACCCGTCAGGTCGGGGGAGTAGGGCTGGGGGAGTGGGGTGGGGAGATGGAGGGATCCTTGTGGGTTCCTTCCTTTTCTCACATCAGGCCTGGGCCTTCTTTCCTTGTGTGACCCTGGGCAGTCCCCGCAAGGAAGGAACAGGGGAGGTGGCCGGGCTCAGGAGGCAGAGGTCCCCTCCCCCCAACCGCAGGGAGAGCTGGAGTGGAAGCGGCCTTGACCCACGGGGTGGGTGGAGGAGCCGGCACAGAAAACAGGCGCCCGCCTTGTCGACATTCCAAGCCCTGTAGGCCCTCTTCTTCCAGGCCTTGATTTCCCACTTTTCCCGTAAAGCGTTTTCAGTGTCGGTCTCTACAACGCATCCTACATGTTAAGAATGGCCGTAACGACGTCTGCCTCTATGGAGGGGCTCCTGGCCGCTCCGAGGCCAGAAGCCCCGCGCAGGCGAGCGTGGGAACGCGGCGCTGGGCGCGGATCCCAGGCAGCAGGGGACGCGGGGCCGGGTGAGGCGTCCTCTGGTCTCGGCTGCCCTCTGGTGGCGGCCTTGGGCTCCAGCCGGCGAGCTCCGCGCGGCTCGGCCCTCCCCGCCCACTCTCGTCCCCGCCCCTGCAGAGGAGTACCAGTGCACCGGCATCCTCGAGGTGGATTTCGCTGAGCTCTGCGCGCGGTGTGGCTACACCGACTTCCCCAAAGTGGTCACCCGCCCCCGCCCGCAGACGGCCTTCGCCCCCTCGGCCTCTACGTCGGAAAAGCCCACAGTAGGTGAGTGACTGGAGCCGCCAGGGTGGTCTGCCAGGGCCGCCGCGTCCATCCCCAGCCTCCCATCGCACGGCGGGCGGAATGGCGGGGACGCAGGGCATTGTGCGTGTGACTGAGGGGGCTGAGTGGGGAGGCGCGTGTGGGGGATTGTTGCGGGGGCTCTCTTGTCTCTCCGTGGGGGCTGTCCCGCCCTCTCTGGCCTCCTTAGGTTGGCCGGATCGTGGGGCCCGGGGCTGTGCACCCACCCCACCTTTCCCCTCCGGCCCGAGGTGCCTTCCTTCTCTCCCTTCCGCAGGTTGGAAGGTTGAGGAGCGGATCCTGGGTATCTTCTCGAAGTGTCTGCCCTCCCTCAGCCAGCTGCAGGCCATCAAGTGAGGGGACATGGGGATAGGGGACCGGGGCTGGGGGAGGGTCAGGAGGCCAGTGGGGGCGGCAGGCTCCTAGCGGCCTGGAAGATAGAACGGAAGCGGCATGGAAGACCCTGGGGAGTTGGGGGAAGCCGGCAGTGAGGAAGGGTGTGGCTGGGGTATCACGGGTGGCTGGGGAGGACAAATGGGAAGGAGGTGATGCTCCAGCTGCGATTCTGTGCTTCCCACCGTTTCCAGCTTGTGGAAGGTGGGGCTGACTGATAAGACCCTGACTACCTTCATCGCCCTCCTGCCTCTCTGCTCATCCACGCTCAGGTCAGCAGAGGGGAACAGGCAAGCGGGGAGGAGACCTGGGTAGACAGGCTGGCTGGATGGTTCGAAGGGAGCAGTTTGGGAACAAGGGGGACAAGTTCCAGCTCCTGTGGCCTGGGCTGGCATCCCTGTGGAAAGCGGGTGCTGCTAGTGTCTGTGGGGGTTTTGAAGTTCCCATCTGACAAGCAGTGGGGTCCCCTTTTCTGTCTACACCAGCACCTAAAGAGCCTATTTTTGGGGCCTTATTTCATCTCCTGTCCATCAGTCCTGCCACCATCCACTCTCTCCCTGGTTCCTCACTGCCTGGGCTCTGACGCTGAACCAGGACTGGTTCTCCTACGGGAACTAGCAGTCCTGTGAGGGAGGGAAAAGGGCATAGCAAGGAATATTGCAGGGCAGTGTGGGGACTGTAGTGGTGGATGTTTTATGGGAGACATGGAAGGCTGCCTGGAGGAGGCGGTACTAAGCTGAGCCTTGAAGGAGGAGTAGGATGAGGCCAGGTGGGGAACCAGAAGGGGCATTCCTGAATAGGAGGGCTTCAGAGCAAAGTGTGAAGTAATGACTACAGGCGTGGTTGTTGTAGAAAGAACACAGCTGATTTGGCTGCTCTTTATTGAGGCTCCCCTAGCACCCTTGACTTCTGCTTTACAGACCCTCCCACCATCACTGGCTGGCCTCCCCACTTGTCTTCCATAGATGGAAGGGATGCTTCTTGAGGGCAGGGCTTTTGTCTCCTTCAGCTGGAGCTCTTTGGTCATTCTATCAGGGTAATTAGAAACAATTTAGCCAGCAAGGGAAAAAAAAAAAACAACTATTGAATTCATCTTAATATGTAAAAATAAGTCAGGTCAACATAATAAAATAATAAAAAATAAATGCAATTAGGTTCAGATGCTAGATGAGCCAGGCTGAAATGCTGGGCAGATAGCATGAAAGAAATTTTTTTTTTTCCATGGGAGAAATTTTTTTAACAGAGAAGTTTATAGCCATTAGTTCCATGTTTGTTGTGACTTGGAAAAAGACCTCCAACCTGTCAGTACTATTGGAGAAGCCACTGTCCTGTGGCGGGGTCATGTATTGGGTAACTTGCTGTGTAACAAGTTAGTGCAAATTCTAGTGGCTTAAAACAACAGACGCTTATTATCTCACAGTTTCTGTGAGTTAGATCCAGGTGTAGGTTAGCTGGCACCTTTGGCTCAGGGTCTCGGTGGGGTTGCAGTAAGGCTGTTGGCTGGGGTTGCCTCATTTTGGGGGGTGTGGGGTGGTGGTGGTGGAGCATCGGCAGCCAAGCTCACTTACATGGCAGCTGATTGGCTGCAGTGCCTCCACTTGTGAGCCTTTCCCTAGGTCATCTGGGTGCTCTCACCACCCAGCAGCTAGTACCAGAGAGCTCCCTAGTTGGAAACCACAGCCTTTCTGTAACCTAAACTTGAAAGTGACCTCTCATCACTTTGCCCTTTGCTTATTCATTAGAAGTGAGTCAGTAGGTCCAGCCACACTCAAGGGGAGGGGATTACACTGGGGCATGGATACCAAGAAGTGGGGACCACTGGGGTCATCTGAGAGGCTCCTGTACCATCTTAGAGGCTCCCGTCACTAACTCTGGAGAGTAACCCCTTCACATGGCACACTTCTGGATTTCTAGTCTGGAGAAGGGTCACAGATAATTTCCTGGGTCAGGAGTTGGGGGGTGGGGCATGTTCCCTAGCTGCTGGCCGGAGCCCCACCCTCTCTCTTTGTCCCCTCCCCTCACCTGGCCTCAGTGGTGCCTCTTGGGTCTCAGCTCTCCCCCACCCCCTCAGGAAGGTGTCTCTGGAGGGGAACCCGCTGCCGGAGCAGTCCTACCACAAGCTCATGGCAGCAGACAGCACGTGAGACTCCTTTCCCTCACGCCCTTTCTCTGGGTCGTCCCCCACTCCAAGTCATCCTTGGTTCCCACTCTGCCTTGTCCCTCTAGCACTTCCCCAAGGACCCTCAATTCCTCCAACCTCAGACCTGAGCGGCCCTCCTCACGCCCGCAAGTGTTCCGAGGTTACCAGAACCGCCCAGGATCCCAGGTTTCCCGTGACCCACCTTCTCCCTCCCGTTGCCCAGGATCGCGCACTTGTCTCTGCGGAACAACAACATCGACGACCACGGGGCACGGCTCCTGGGCCAGGCTCTGTCCACGCTGCACAGCTGCAACCGGACCCTGGTCTCGCTTAACCTGGGCTTCAACCACATCGGGGACGAGGGCGCGGGCTACATCGCGGATGTGCGTGCGCAGCGGGCAGGGTCCCGCGCGAGCTGTGGCGCCCGGGGCCAGCCTGCTGGCTCACTGCCCCTCCCCGCCCCCGCAGGGCCTCCGGCTCAATCGCTCCCTGCTCTGGCTGTCCCTGGCCCACAACCGCATCCAGGACAAGGGCGCCCTGAAGCTGGCTGAGGTGGGTGTGCGGGATGGGCGGCGCTGGGGAGAGACACCCGCTCCCAGTCCCCGCTCCCCGGACGGCTGATGGCGAGGTGCCGCCTTGCCCCAGGTCCTGCGCCCCTTCGAGCTGACACATATCGAGGTGGTGGAGCGCCGGCGCCTCCTGCTGGAGAAAGGTTCGCAGGAGCGCTCGCGATCGGTGAGGAGCGCCCCGAGCCGGAGAGCTGAACCGCTTCCCAGGTCGGCGCTTTCAGACGCCTGGACGTGTCCTAATCCGTCTTCTCTCCCAGTGTTGTGACCGTTTTTCTCTCTGACCTCAGCACACATCTAACAAAAGTTTGATCTCCAACCGCAGAGTCACTCCGCTTACGGCAGTGTGTGTTGGTTAAGAGAAAGGATAGATTTATAGACCGCAGGGACTTGGAATCTGGCTCATCCACAAAACAGCTTGGGACCTTGGGCGTGTGACTGAACCTCTCAGGGCTCAGTTTCCTCATCTGTAAAATGGGGATAACTGTGTCTACCTCATAGGATTGTTGAGAGGATTAAATGAGTTGATTCAGCTAATGCACTTGGAAAAGTGCCAGGCACTTAGTTTAAAATGTTAGCTACAGTTTTCTCCCTCTATTAGTCGAAATGCCTTTCCTACCCCCCTCACCCTCCCACCCCCACGCTCATCCCTGGATCCCTCTGCTATTTCTTCCCAAAATGCCCCGTAAGAGTCCCAAACAAATGATAGTAGCATTTAGGCAGGGAGGTTGGGATGGGGGTGCTGCCAGCCTGACTGCCACCCAAGCACAGGGTTTCCCCTCACCCCTCACTAGGGAAGGGGCACTGGCTTCTTCCTCTTCCATCCCCTCCCATTTGTGAGCACAGCCTTCCACCTCTCGGCACGGTGACTCCAAAACAGAGCGTGACAAGAATCAGCTGATGGGGGTCAGCAGTTTTGCATTGGTGGAGAAGGACAAGATGCAGACAGTGAAGACACCCAAGGGTCTGGGCAAGAAAAAGGAGAAGTCGGGGGTAGGTGTGCTGGGGGCAGCAGAGTCTTGGGCGCTGGAGGAATAGGGGAGGAAGCTTCCTTGCTAAACAAGTGGGGTGGAGGCTGGAAGGCCTTTGAAGGTCCATCTCAGGCCCAGGGTCCTAGTGCTGCCTCTTCTCACATCTGCTTCCCATCCCCCAGGGAGGTAGGACTCTCATCTCTCTTCTTACATCCCCCATAGGAAGTGGTGAAGAAAGAGGAGAAGTCAGGGCCTGGGCAGTCACCTACACAAGGAACCCCTAAGAAAGAAGACTCCGCAAAGGCAGGCAAGGGGAGTAAGTGCTGGCACTCGCCTGCAGGTCGCTTGGCGTGGACTAAGGAGGAGCCCTGGGCAGGATGAGGAGCCTGCCCTGAGCTAGTCTTCTTGTGGATGCTGTTGGAAACCCCAGCCAGCCCCACTCACTGCGCTCCACACTGTTTCCCTGGGCCGGACCCCTGTGGCTCCGCTCTCAGAGGAGGAATCCCCCTCCAGCTCTATTTCTACTGCACCCAAACCCACAGTGTGAGGAGACCCCTTCCTTGCCCCGGCCTTTCTCTCTGGGGAAACTGGGTGGTGTCAGAGGTCTGCCCTGTGCATTCTGGCTCCTCTTCCCACTCCAGAGGTAACCATCCCTGAGCAGAAACTAAGCAAGGGAAAGGGGGCCAAGACTGGGAGCAAAGAGAAGCGCAGCATCCTCATGGAGTCTGAGGTAGGCTGGGAGAAGTGGGGTGGGGAGCACGTCCCTGGGGTCCAGGCGCCCAGCCCCCCCGTGGGATGGAGTCTCCAGTCCTGTACTGTGGCAGCAGCCACTTCACCTGGCATTATGCCCTCCGTCCTGCCTGCTTCCTATCTCAGCCTGGGCTTGCAGGGGATCACAGAGCTCAGGGCCCCCTCCCCTTCTATTAGGAGCCCTGTTTTTCATCCTTGCCTCAACTCAATCTGCTTCCCAAAATGCCGTCTGTTCATCTCCACCACACCCACAGCTTGTACATTTGCAGAGGGAAGAGAGCACGTTCTTTGGCCCTGCCAGCAGCTCCCCGGGGAGGCAGGCTGTTCTCCTAGTCGGGGTATTGCCCTCACCCTGTGCGCAGCACCTTGAGACCCTCTCCCCTTTGCCCTTGCAGCCTCCCTTTTCTCTTTCAACGTGGACCAACTTGTCCCTTGCTTTGAAAACCTTCCTGGACTGCTGACTCTGTAGCGCCCACCCCCCACAGTGAAGTCAGCTGCCCAAGGGCTGTGTGCACTTACACAGTCATACATCGGGGCATTGTGCTTTGCTTCACTGCGATTCAGATACTGCATTTTTTTTTTTTTAAACAAATTGAAGGTTTGTGGCAACCCTGCATTAAGCAAGTCTTTTGGTGCCATTGTTTTTTTTTCCCCCAACAGCCCTTGCTCACTTTGTGTTTCTGGGCTACATTTTGATACTTCTCTCAGTATTTCAAGTTTTCTCATTATTATTAGTTGTTATGGTCATCAGTGATCTTTGATATTATTACCCTGATTCTCTAAAGGCTCAGATGATGGTTAGCCTTTTTTTTTTTTTTAAGCAAGAGTATTTTAAAATTAAGGCATATACCTTGCTTTTTAAAGACATAATGCCATTGCACATTTAGACTGTAATATAAACATAACTTTTATATGCACTGGGAAGCCACTTTATTGGAACCGAACCCACATCTCCAAGGTATGCCTGTGTTCCAAGACCTCCCCACCCTAGGCAGGGACCGGCCCCTCCCCTGGGAGTCTTCTCTAGGACCCAAGATCATCTTACAAAAGGGGGAAGTCAGGTGGAGAAAGTGAGCAAGGCTTGCCTCTCAGTGCAGGTTTTTGGTCCCTGCCTCAGCCTTGACCCAGGCTGCTGTTTCTCCCCAGGATAATTGCATTTTCCTCTCATCCTGCCTTCAGCATCATCTCCCTGCAGTCCCTCGTCCTCATTGCTCTCCCTATTAGGAAATACTGAACTTGAATGCCAACACTATTTCACACCTCTGCACCTGTTGGCACTTCCCCCATCTGATAAGGACCACACACTACCAAGATGCCAGCTCCCAGGCCATCTCCTCCAGGATAGACTGCTCCCAAGCCAGGCTAGCTGTCCTACCCCTGTGGCCCCCCCCAGTTCTGCTTCCCTCTGTCATCTCCAACACCATACTGCATTAGTCTCAACTCTGGCTTCCCCACACAGAGCTGCTTCTTGAGGGTATGGGCTTAATTTATCTTTGTATCTCCAGCACTCGGGACAAAGCCTGGACTATAACCGGCCCTCAAAACATGTATGTTGAATGAATGAATGAATGGCCTGTTGACCAGCTCCCCTCTCCTCTGCTGCAATTAGTATTCTGCCTTAGCAGCTGGTTGGGGAAGCTACTGAGATGGTCAACCCTCTCCTGGAGCCTGTGGAGCACCGCGATGGCAAAGTTTTCATGCCTGGGAACAAGGTCCTCTTGCACCTCAATCTTCTCCGTACGTTTGCCAGTGCCCCCTGCTTCCCTCAGCAGGCTAGCTGGGCCCCAGGCGGCCACAGGGTCGCCTGCATGCCGCTCCATGGAGCAGAACCTGGTTCTCCAGTGGTTGGGCGGCATGTGAAGGCCCTCTTGCATGGGGCTTTGGGACGGGGGTGGGTTTGGGCTCTGGGTCAGGCAATTAGAGAGCAGAGAGGAGCAAGATGAAAGACTGAGGGAAGTGAGACAAAAAGGAGAGTTGGGGTGAAGGACCAGGTTGGGCGTTAGTCCGGGAGAGTGAGCTGGAGGAGCAAGGGGCTAGTGGGGTGTCGGCAAGGCGGTGGTTGGCGCTCAGAGGCCACCTCGTCGTCTACTTCCACCAGGAAACCGCATCACAGAGGTGGGGCTGGAGGCCTTCCTCACCGTGGTGCAGTACCAGGCGCAGTTCACCAAATCCAAGAGCGCATGCAAGGGCCCCGTGGGGCTGCTGTGGCTGTCCCTGGCGGTGAGTCCCCTTCAATCTCTCCTGCTCTCTCTCTCCATTTTCAAGGCAGGCCCTCTAGATTCCCTGTCCTTTCATCACAACACAGCCTTCATCCCTCTCGCTGTGAGGTCGGCAGTCAGGCTCCTTTTTGCCTTTTTCCCCATGCCCCCCCAGCCCCTAACCCACCTTGTCCTAGGAGATGATTTTTCCTCGGGTGATTCATCTTCATTGCTTTTGTTAGCTATCAGTGTGCCTTTTCTTCTTCCAGAAAAACTGCTTCTCCCCACAATGTCCTGCGTACACTATGATCCAGGAGCTGATGCTGCCAAGGGACCCCATCAATAAATCCAAGCACAAAGAGGAGGAGCCCGTGGCTTCTTGCACCTAGCCCCTGCCCCCTGCTTTTCCCAGAGACTCTGGGCCATGGAAGTACCTCCTTTCCACGTGTGGGCTGGACCTCCCTGGGGGAAGCTCAGATCATTAACAAAGCCTATTGCTGTACTTCTTTTCTCGAGTTTGTCTGAAAGCTTTGTCCCAGAACTATTCAGAATATTTGGACTTTATGCCTGTTTGAAAGTGTGTTAATATGGCCAGAAATGGCCAAATCGCTTTTTCTGCTGGGGGGTGATCTCAGCTCCTCTGGTTGTGGCCGGCCAGGGGCATTGTTCTCCCACCTCCTCAGGACCTAGTTCTCGCTTGCCCAGCCTACAGTCACCCCCTCCTCCCCCACCATAGGACACGTGATATGCCAGGGTTTGCAGTGTCTCTGGACTTAGAGGCAAAAAGAAAAGTCTTGGGAGAGTAGCCGACAGGCACAGCAGAGGGGAAGAGTGGGTGGGGCAGAAGCACGGCGTGCAGGCTCCACCATTCCACCTTCTCAGACCCCTTCCCACTCTGGACTGGTTTGGAGGAGAGGCAAGGGCTGTTTGTGAAAACATGCTGAGCTAGTACGCTGCTTTGGAGAGGGTGCCGAATCTCTCATGTTTGTAGCAAAGACAAAGCACTAAACGTGAACCTTGATGACACTGCCTACTGCCGTCAGCGACCTGAAACCAGAGCCACCCAGCTGGTGCCGAGGGCAGGAGAGGTGGGGGCCCTGACTCTTCACCCTGCAGTGCTGCCCCCCACTGAGATGGCCTGATCATGCCTCCAGAGCTCAGGGCTGGCTTCTGGGGAGCTGACATTCACTCTTCCGGAAGTGCCTGAGAAACGTCCCTTCTTCACCTCTGAGCACATCTAACCTGGTCACATCCTCTCAACCCCCACTCCCGTTTCCATTGCCTCAACAGAGATCTGCCCTCTGTGAGGCTCTGTGGCCCCCACAGTCCCCTCCCTGCCTCCATCTGCCAGGACTGCTGCTTGGCCTCTTGGCAGCTGGCCACTGAGCTACTGCACGGAGCAGGGTGCAGGAGCAGCTCTCTGAATCCGTCCCGTCACCCCAGCCTCTCCTGTTCCCCCTGCCTGAGGCCTTCTAAAGCTTCAGTGGAGCCTTATAGCCCATGTACTCATCCCTACACTTTATCAAGAATGGCTCATGTATTCATTCTGATGCCCAACCAGACTGTAAGCTCCCGAGGTCAGCACTCAGCATTACGCTGGGTTTAGGAGGTAAAACAGAGAGGAAAGAGAATCGGTCCCTTAGTCCAACAGTGACAGCCAAGAGAGGAGGTCGGAATGGTTACAGTCCTGGGGACATGGCCGTGTCTGACGAGCTGCTTCCGGAGGGTGTCAGAGCTTGCTCGAGGACTCCGAAGGCATCTGGCCAGGCCTCAGAGATGACCCTCCCCTGTGTGTTGCCCTTAAAGTCCTACGGCTCACTGAGGGCAGCCTGTGAGGGCTCTTGACTCTGGGACCGCTGCTCCTTTGTGTGTGTGTTTAAACTGAGATAAGTGTCTTTGTATGTCTTAGCCGCAGGGGGCTGTATCACTTGGTTTCCCCAGCTGAAGTTCAGCAAGTGCACCCTGGAGCTTTGGGAGAGAATATGGCGAGGCCTGGGTCTGAGGCCTGGGTCTGGGGGCTGCGTTCCGTTCCTTCTATCCAATGCTAACCAGTCTTAGAGGGAACAACTACAGTATCTTTGATTACAGTGGTTCCAAGAATCACACATATACCACCACAGTTGAAGAATATTTAACTTTTCTTAAAAAAAAAAAAAAACTTAACCATGAAAGGAAGAAAATAAAAGAGTATACATTATTTTAACAGCAAAACAGTCATTTCCATATCTATATTTTATATATTATATATATATATTTATATATATATATGTATATATACACCTAGCACAGTGTGTATATTCTATTAGTCAGTGGGGGGTGGAGTGGATGTGGTAATGGGGGCCAAGGCTGTGGTAGCCCCTGGGGGTGGTCCTAAGTTAGTTTAGGGACTCCAGCATTCAACCCCCTACCCCTCTCCTGGCGCTCAGTTTTCAGCTCTGTACCTGATACACTGGTTTTCTACAAGGAGAGGGTGGGGAAGGGTGGACACAGGTGGAGTAAGAAATTCCCCTGAAGATGAGAAATCCTGGGAGGGAGGGAGGAGCTCAGCACCGGGCCAAGGAGGCTGGAAGCTGGAGGCCTCAGGGATGGCTCCACCTCTGGGCCCTGATCCTGGAGCTGGGCCACTAACTAGGAGATCCAAGTGAACCTCCTGTTCCCTTAGCGGCCCCTCCGTAACTGCCTCCAGCGCTCCAGGACCAGAAACAAAAAAGGGTGAAGTTATTTACAATAGCAAAGATACACATACAATACATACATATTTATAGGAAACCAAAGTGACAAAGAGAGGAGGAGACACCCACCCTAGCCTGGGGTCCTGTGGAGAAGGGAGGGGAGGAAGAAAGTGCATTTACACCGGAGCTGCCTCCTTACACTCACACTGGCTTGTCTGAGGGCACCCACACATACAGGCGCGCACAAGCGCGTGGGGACTAGGGGGCCTTTCAGATGCAGTCTGCATGCTTAGGAGACAGGAGGCCGTGATGGGTGGGCCGAGGGGAAGGGAAAAGACATTGAAACTTGACTCCAATCTGAGCAGACCAAGCAACATGCGATCTCCCCCAGGTCTCGGCTGGAGCCTTCTCCTCAGCCGCTCACTACGGTGAGGAGGTCTGGGGTCTCCCCACCCCGTGCCCTGCCTCAGGCCAGTCCCTAGCGGAGGAGTGGGGATGTGAGGAGTCAGTGGTTCCGACAGCTACGGTCCTGGGGATGTGGCTGTGTCTGCCGTGCCGTCTTCCAGCGGAGTGGGGCCTGTGGGGAGTGGGGATGGTGGTGAGGAGCTGGCCTCTGAGAAGACGACCCTCCCCCCATGTTTCTCCTGGGCAGTCCTCAAGCCTGTGAGAGCAGCTCTTCAGTGCCATCCTTCCGTGACAGGCGTTCTCCGCCACCAGAAACCTCAGTTTCTTGTGGGGCCTGAAAGGGGCTGTCTGCTGAATCCCACTTCTGTTTTGTTGGCCCCCAAACCCATGGGAAGGTATGGGTCTGACTGCCTGAGCAGAAGCACAGCCGTGGCCCCAGCCCACACAATCTACTTCTGAACCACTTATTAAGGACGGGTTTTGGATGTGAGACTAGGTTCTTCCTGGTTGGTTATCTCCAGAATCCAATAAAAAAGAGGGTTCAGTTCTAAGGTTCCCACTTTTAGGGGAGCTTCCTCTTCCTGAAGCTGAGGAAATGAGTGAATAAGTTGTACTTGAGGGGAAAAAAAATGAGACCCCTTCTCAGAACTCCCCCATCTTCTCATAGCCCTGTGGTGATGTTTCCTCAGGAGCCGAAGGCCTTCTCCACGCGCCCTCCGCCCTGCCCCTGCCCCCGCCAACCCCAGAGGACCTCACTCACCGTCCTCAGGACAGGGCCCCAGTTCGCGGCTGTCCATGGAGTCAGAGGCCAGAGGCTCCTTGGCTGGAGGGGAGAGGGAGCTTTCTATCCATCTAGCTGCCTCTGTGTGGAAACTGCCCACAGGTGTGGTGCCGCCAGATGACTGACCCCCGAGGGACCTGAGCAGCTCTCTGTGGGCCAGCTCCATGTCCTGGAAGAGTAGCAGAGGGACATCTGCTCTCCAGCCCCTCTGGGGAAGAGGCTGTGCTTGAGGGTGGTGGGGCGGGCTGAGAGCAGAGCCCCAGGCCAGGATCTAGGGCTCCTGCGGAGACAGCTCTTGTGGGTGATGGGTCTCGGGGGATGGCCTGCGCCTCTGGGGGCCTGAGCCCTTACCTTGAGCCGGTTGAGCTTGAGGGTAAGCTGCTCGATGGTGCGGAAGATCATGCCCACGTCCCTGAGGGCCAGACTTGGGGGAGAGCGGCCGGGGCGCTTTTGATCTCCATGGCCTCCCTGGAGTGGGGGCTGAGGCTCCGTCTGCCAGGCAGGGAGGCCGTCAGGCTGGGAAGGGCTCATGTGTGCTCCTGATGGATCAGTACTCGAGTCAGGGGGTCCTGCTGGCATGCTGACGTAAAAGCAGTTCCCTGGCCCCAGCAAGACAAAGAGATTAGGAGGCAAACAGAGAAGTCTAAGCCGTCTTCTGCTCCCCCAGTGTCTCTCAGGCTGATCCATGGGCCCGGGGAAGCCATCTTGCAGATGAGCTCAGAGCAGGTTGGCCCCAAGCTGCCTACCAGTCTCCCAAAACCCTTCGCTTTGAGAACCTTCGAGATGCTGGTGTTGCCCAGTGGGGCCCACACCAGGGGGGAGACTAAGGAGCTAGTGGTGGAGGTTAAGGGAGAAGGGGCAGGGTGGTTGTGTTTCTTCTGGGAAACCACAGTGGCCCCCATTCCATGAAGGAAGGGTGAAGAGGGGGGTGAGCTGGCTTTAGATGCTTCTGAAAGAGGTGGGTGGGCGCCTCCTTCAGCCCCATCTCAGGCTCTGCTGAACTTCAACACAGCCCCCTCCCCAATAGCCAATTACTTGGTGATCTCTGAGATATCTGAACTCATCAGAGGGGGTCAGGGACAGCTAGAGAAGGATGCTGAGGGTCCCTGACAGGACAGTCAGCACAGGAATATGTCCAGGAGCCTGGAAGGCCTCATAAAACCTTCTCCACAGTGACCCTGATGGGTGTGGTGGCTGGTGTGCGGGAGAGGTGGCTCAGAACGTCAGGCTGGGGACACTGCGCTCCCCTCCCCCACCTCCTGTGACGAAGCACAGCCGCTTCACTCCACCGCTCCAGAAGGGGCCTGCGCAGCTCGCGGAGAGGGGCTGGCACAGGTCTGCCCGCCACCTTTAGGCCCACGTCCTACTCTCCCTGATTCCAGTTGGGGGGCGTGTCCACATGACTGCTGGCCAGGGTCTAACACCGGAAGCCCAGCTCTGCCCTCAAGGGCTCCCACTCCAGCCCTGCCTGTCTCTGGCTCCAGGGAGAGGGTCGTTACCCGTAGCCTCTGCTCCGCCTTCCACTTCGGGTGGCTCAGGCTCTGACTGGCCACTCTCTGGCAGTGCAGGGACCGCCTTGCTGCCTGCCACCTCCGCTGCACCAACACCACCACCAGGGAGAGCAGAGAGGAGACAGGAGGAGAGGGGAG